CTGAAGGGATTGTCAAGTTGAAAATATTCTTGTAGTATCGATTTCATACTAAGGATTTGGAAAAACTCAGATATTTCTTGGGTATTGAGGTGACTCGATCTAAACTGGGTATTTATTTATCCCAAAGAAAATATATATTTGACATGCTAGAAAAAGCAGATTTGTTGGGTGGCAGACCTATTGATGTTCCTATGAATCCGAATCAAAAACTTTTGATGGATGATAGTGCACTGTTTAAGAATCCGAGTCGGTATCGCAGATTGTTGGAAAGCTCAATTATCTCACTATTACTCGACCGAATATTTCCTATGCAGTCAGTATAGTAAATCAGTTCATGAGATGTCCTAGAATATCACTTTAGGAGACAGTTACTCATATTCTACGATATCTCAAACGTGCTTTAGGACTTGGATTGTTATATCGAGCTAATGGACATCTTAGAGTAAAAGGTTTCTCAGATGCTGATTGGACTGGCTCTCCTTCTAATTATAGATCAACCACTGGTTATTATACTTTCTTAGGAGGTAACATTGTCTTATAAAAAAGTAAGAAACAATCCGTGGTAGCAAGATCCAGTCCTGAGGTTGAATATAGGACAATAGCACATACAACGAGTGAATTGACTTGACTACTACACTTCTTCCAAGAAATTGGGTTTCCAATTCAACTTTCATTACAGTTTTTTTGTGACAACCAAGCAACTATCCATATTGCTGTCAATCCAGCGTTTCACGAGAGAACCAAACATATTGAGGTTAATTATCACTTTATTCGGGACAAGATAGTAGCTGGAGAGATTACAACTCTATTTGTGAAATCTGAAGATCAGCTTACAGATATGTTTACCAAAACATTGAGTCGTACACATCTTACAGTAATTTGTTCCAAGTTTGAATTATATGATATATATAGTCCAGCTTAAGGGGGAAGGTTAAGAATATTAGGGTAGTATGTGTAAATTGTTAATAGCTAGAGGGTGTATGTGTAATTCTTATTATTGTGAGTTAAATATAAATACAAGTTTGTATGATAGCTAGGTTAAGTTTTAACCTCTCTCCTTCTCTCTAATATTGTTTCTAATCTTGTGTTATGTTAATCATCTCAATTTAACAGTGCTTATTGTGTGTTTTTAGGCAATAACATCATCTCCTGGAGGTGCAAACAGCAACACGTTATTGCTAGAAGTAGTATTGAGGCTGAGTATAAATCCTTAGCTAACACAGCAGCAGAGTTACAATGGTTGAAGTCTGTTATGCTTGAACTTGGATATTAGTGTCCACAACCCCCAATTTTATACTTTGACAACATTGGAGCTACATACTTAACCGCTAATCCTGTCTTTCACGCCAGAACAAAGCATATAGTGGTTGATTTTTATTTTATGAGGGGTCAAGCTGTCAACAAGAAGATCAATGTTCATTTTATTTGTAGCAAAGTGCAACAAAGATCAACTCGCAGATATGTTCACCAAGCCACTGTCCACCACTTGGTTTAATTTCTTACAAAGCAATCTCAATGTTCGAGAATTGCCATTCAGATTGAGGGGGTGTATAGAAGATCAAGTCAACCTTGATCTACTTCAAACTGAATCCAGTGCTATAAAATAGGAAAAGATATGATCCCGTGCTAAATATATAGTATGAAACCAATTGTAGGAGTCTTGTATCCATACACTTAAGACCAAAACAATTGTAAATCAAGTATAAATACTTGTACTTGCTATCTTATAATAGAAATGAGAAATAAAACCTTTTCTTATTATTCTAAAGTGAAGAATGATATCCTACTGCTGGCATATTCATCAAGGACCTTGAAGGTGTTTTGCCAGAAAAGGACACCAGAATGTCATCACATCACATATAAATTGTGGAACAAAAAGGGATTGGATAAACTTAAATTGAAGAATTGAATTTTATTAAATACTCTATTATTCTATTATTTTTGGAATATTTGTTTGACTAGGAGCGTTTAGTAATTTTGATAGAAGAGTCTAGTTAGGAAACTCCCTATTTTGATAAAAGATTTTAATTAAGAAACTACCCATTTTGATAGGAGATTTAAATATTGATGTAATCTCTGCTATTTCATTAGAGAGTGATATTATGAAACTACCTATTTTGGTAGGAGATTTAAATATTGATGTAATCTCCACTATTTCATTAGAGAGTGATATTAAGAAAATTGTTTCTTTGTGGAGAAATTGTGTTTCTTAACATGATCCTTGTGAGGGTTTGGTACCTCTTAGTTCTTTCTTCTCCCCTCTCCCTTCCAGAGAGCAAAACTCCAATCCAACAGCCTTTCTTTCCTACTTTGGTATCATCTTCCAATGTATCAAAAGATTCAAAACAGATGTTGCAATCACACGAATCAGTTGTGGCTGATTGAAGAAGAAATATGACTACCTGTTGTTAAAGAGTCTTGATTGTTAGGTCTAGATCACATGCGACAACCTTATGTTCATGGTCCTGCAATTTTGTGACTCCTTGTTCAAGAGAAAATTTTCAAATCTATACTTTCATCAAGATGTTGACCAGAACCGAATTACTTGCAAAGATTGACGTATGTGAGGCTAAGATATATTTACCCCAAGCATCAACAGATTCACTCCAATAATCAGGGAATTCACTCCAAGCATCAGTGAACTCAATAAAGAAAGTATAACCAAGCAGGTTGCTATCCTTGGAGTTATGTTACCCATTAACAAGTGTTTGAACAAGATAGATACTGATTTATCCTCTTCATTCATTAGTCATCAACAAATGGTTAAGCAGGTCCCTACACCACAACCTCTAGTCTGACAATCAAAAAATGTCCAATGTTGATGAGCCCAAAATTTGTCCTCAACCTACATTGATTATTTTTGATAATACAATTTTAAAGAGTGTTGCTACCGATGAAGTTAAACAAGTTTCGAAAGTAATTTCTTTACATAGGGTTGCTACTTTTTCACCACCAATTCTTATTCTTTCTTTATCACCATCCTTTGTAGGGAACAAAATGTGAAGTTATGGAGATTCAAGATATAGATTTCTCTCATTGTGATACCAAGTATTATCTCGTTTAAGAGAGATTTTGTCCTCATGTTATCAAGATGAAGGATCCATTTTGTCAACTGAAGTCGATTCTCTTGGAGTGCTCTTGTTATTAGAACTTTTCGGATAAAAAGTTTTTCAACTGGTGCGAATCGATGAGGATCGAAAAGGGATTGAATAAGCTTAAATTGAAGAATTGAATTTTACTATCTATTTTAGTATTACAATATTTAGGGAATATTTGTTTGACTGAGAGTGTTTAGTAATTTTGAATTAGTTAGAAAACTACCTCTTTTGATATAAAATTTTAATAAGAAAAAAATTGTTTCTTTATGGAGAACTAGTGCGTTTCATAACCTTATCCTTACAAGGGTTTGGTACCTCTTAATTCATTTTCTACTCTTTTTTCTTGTCCTGCATGACTTGTCGGGTTAGAAGCTTATCCTTAACACTCATCCAACGGTATTTCAGGGTTAATAATGTGAAGCTACAGAATATTGTAGGATCAATGATATGAAGATCAAAATAATTGCAAGCTATTGGTGTCCCAGATACATAACTCAATCTTCATAAACTGCATTTTGTCAAAGATACTTAATACAGCCCCTTTATTGACAAATCAAATAAATCTTAGAGGAAAAGAGATTTGTAACCTATGGTTGTTCAGGAAATCCCTAATTTTCCTCCCAAACCACTCATCTATCCATTTCCTAGTACCCCATATCTTTCATATTCAATCTGGTCACTTAATCATCATTAAATCCAAAATCTTTAAAATATTTCATTTAGCCAATCATCCCTTTCAACTTGCACAAAGAAGATTCCTAGCAATTATCTGGCATCCACATTATTTTGTTAATGTTATGTTCAACTCATGAGGGTGCAACACTCGCCTACGCAAAAATGGCAAAGGAAAAATAACAAATACATGGGAGTTATAAGCCTCATGTAACATTGAGTACTCAAAGGTTTAATCTCATGTTTTGCAAAGAGTACATTCAAATCGATATTTTGGTTGATGCTTTAATGTTTCTGGTCCTCTTACATTCAAAATAAGCTTGATAACCACATATGCCAAAACATAGGACAGTCTCTCATGGTAATGATAAGTGTATCAGACGTCAACTGAAAGGGTGCATGACGTCATGTTCACAAATGTCCAACACTTCATTGGACAATTATTGAATTATTCACTTCCATGCATTTAAGAAAAAGCCAAATTTTCATCCTATAATCAAAGCAAACGTGAACATGGACAAATATGTGCAATTAAAAGAACGAAATCAAAATATCTCAACGGTGATCATGATGCAGCCCCAAGAAAACAACACCTATTATTAGAAAAATTCGCCAATTGTCAGCTTCTAAACATCCATGCACATCTTAATCCTCAAAACACAAAACCATTGTTCTATAAACCATAATCATCATCTGTACTATGTAGGGTCTGTCATTCTAAACCAATCTTTATTAAACAAAAAAACATTAGCTAAAAACACTTCACAGGTTTACATTTTATAGTTAATACAGGAATAAAACTATTAACAGAATATATCTCGGTCCATTTACCTATCAAATTCATCTAAAAACTATTAGGGCCGAGCCAATAATCAACTTATTATCTGTATCCCACATTTTGATTTACCACTTAAAACTCAGCCAGCTTCAATTCAATCTACATAAACCCAAATATCTTGAACCTGAAAATAGTAAATCCGACTACATTTCCACTCAAATGGTTGGCCATTATGTTCTCTTATCTCACCTTAGGGGGAGAACTAGGAAGAGTTTATGTCGATTGACAGCTCCTATCCTAGCAGCTAGTAGTCCTATCCTATCTACTGGACAATGGGCATTCTCGTCCGAGGGACCCTTATTTACTTTACTCAGATTGCTGGACAGACCAGGCTCATCCTTTTATGTTGAGGTGTTAATCAATCAATTAAGACTCAATCAGCCAGGTTCAGTTCAATCAATCTAAAACCAAGCCTTCATTTGTTATCGAACTAAAAAAAATAGATCTTCAAAGTACAATCATTATAATAAAAATTGAAAAGAAAGAAAAGAATCATTGGCTTTTGGATTCATACCTGGTAGCGATGAGACAGAACATCGTCGGAATCATCGGAGTCATTGTCCATGAACTCGTAGTCCATGGCGTTGGCATCATCAGATTCCACGGCTGTCTCGCCGCTATAGAAGTCGTCATCGAAAGATTCTGCGTCGTGCATATCATCCTCTGATTCCATCTTCGATATTCAAATTCGACCAAGCCCTACAACAATTGGAATTGATATCAAGCTGAAGAAACACGTACGATTATTCTCTCGTTCTCTCTTTAGAGAAGGTACAATGATTGATGTTGTAGATTTGGGTACGTACGTAAGCTCCAATATTGATCGGAAAATGAGAGAGAGAGATGACTTTTTAGCTTTTTGATGGTGGCCAAGGACCTTGGCGAAGAAAAAAAAGGAAAGAAATGGCGAACAAATAAGGCAGCGTTTGGACTTTTTTTGTTTTTTTTTTTTTTTTTGCGCAGGAATGGTAATAAACGGTCTCCCAACGGGCTCAGCCTAGAAATTTTAGGGGGCAGACCTAGGTTTCAACCTATGGGCCAGTCCAAAAAAATTGGTCGGACATTGTTCACGATCATTCCATGGCCAAGCTTTTTACCGTCGGGGTCGATGTAAGAGCATCTTTAATTTTTATTTTTTTTAAATTTAAATTTAGATTTGAATAAAAAAAAATTTTAAAATTTCTTTAATGCTAAATTTATACGTACATCAAATCCAAAAATATTTATTTTTTAACTCAAATTCATGAAGAGTCAAATGTTTAACGGTGTGTGTAATGACAAAATTTGTGATGTAAATTAACGTAAAATAAGGTCAAATTATAATAGTCAATTTGATTGACTTTAAGTAAAAAATATAGTGTTGACTTTCTTTGGCGTGTTTCACATTTGCACTGTTCTTTGATTCTTGATGAATTCGGTAAAGATGAGGGCCAGATTGACGTATTTCTCACTCTTCAATTTGTGGCTTTAATGAAAACGAGAACTAGATCAATGTATCTCCTACTATTTAATTTGATGATGTTTTTTATGAATTTCCTCACCGTTCTTCGTTTGGAATGGCTTAAAGATTATTTGGATTTCTTGAAGAAGAACTTTGGTGGTGTGTTCTTTTTCTTGGAGATAAACTTACAAGACTTTAAGGCTTTAGTGAACTTCGAGCAGAACTTCGCCTAAAGATGCCTATAGAATTCAGTGGAACAAGACTTTTTACTGGGTTTGCCCATGGATCGGTGAAGCTCAGACTCCTCAAGTAAATGCTTATCCTTTATTTGATTTCTTTGTTGTATTTTATTCTTTAGCATGTGTGTGACATAAACCCTTTTTTTTTTTGTTGTTGAGCTTTTTATTTACGTACCTTACATTTTTGCATACTGATGGGAGCAACAACCAACTTTGAATTCCTCATTTAATGGAACACCCATTTTTGTCTATTAATACTATGTTCATACTTTTGCTTATTGATTATTTTTGTTTAAGGTGATTGTTTATAGTGTTTTTTTTTAAATTTATTTTGGTAAGATTTGACCACAATTTTTTTTTCGTCTATAATGATTACTATTATTATTCAGTGTCAATTTTATACACATGAATTTGCCTCCTTTTTTTATGCTCAAAATCCTTACTTAATTTCATAGCATGAACTTGTTTATTCTATATTTTATTTATTTATTTTTTGTGATATTGGTTGGATGATTTTGTAGACTTGTCCACTGATATACTATTTTGAATGGCTATTTTTTTTCCCAACGACTATCCATAAAATTTTAATTTGTCATTACTCCTTTTATATATATATATATATATATATATATATATATATATATATATATATATATCTTGGTAATTTTTCACATTGGTCAACTCAAATCAATCTAATAAAAAAGTTTGATTTGTGTGTATACGTATATGTGTGTGTGTGCGCGTGTGTATATATATATATATATATTATCTTAATCTTAGTCATAACTTGTTTCTTAATTTTTTTTTTTTGGAACTAAGTCATGATTTCTTGACAACAAACGTGTCTTTTAATTTGTTGGGATAATAACCTCTTTTTTGTTTTTTTTTCAAAAAAATTAGTCTCGAATATCTTTATCCAAAAAATTGTGTTAGATTACCTTTGACCTAAGAATTTTATCTTAATAACTTGATTTTAGGTGATCCTTTTTTTTTTAAATAAATGAATAAATTTTATTCCTCAGGATTTTTCTCTTTGGGTTAACTTTATTCGAAGAGTATTAATTTTAATTTTAATTAGCTTTTTCTTATAAATTTTAGATGACATTCGCTCTAACAGTTTATAAATTTTGTGTTAATTATAAGTGGCTTATGTTACAAGAGTTTAATTTTATTTTTTTATTATTATTAATTTTCTTTTGACCACCTTAAGTATTTTTGTGTTGACTTAGGTGAGTTTTGTGACAATTTTAGGTGACTTTCTATGACAGCCCTAAGTGACTTTTGTAACAATCCTATGTGACTTCTGTAACAATCTTAGGTGACTTCTGTAACAGCCCAATGTGACTTCCGTAACAGTACTAGGTGATTTCTGTAATAGCCTTAGGTGAATTCTATAAAGGTGACTTCTATAACACCACTATATGACTTCTGTAACAGTCTTAGTTGACTTCTGTAACAGCCCAAGGTGAGTTCTGTAACAGCCTTAGGTGATTTCTGTAACAGCCCAAAGTAACTTCTGTAATAACCTTAAGTGATTTCTGTAACAGTCCAAAATGACTTCTGTAACAACCATAGATGACTTCTGTAACAGTCTAAGGTGACTTTTGTAACAACCCTAGTGATTTCTGTAACAGTCTTAGGTGACTTTTGTAACAGCCCTAAGTGATTTCTGTAACAGCCTAAGGTGACTTATCTATTCTTGTATTGCTAATATTCTTGTATTGTCACTATTATTATTATTATTTTATTCTCACTTTATTTATAGCATTAAGGTTTATAAATAAATATATATATATATATATATATATATATATATATATATATATATATATTAAAATTATTATTTGCCCTCTCTTTTTTATTATTTTTATTTTTCAGATGGCCTCATCTCAAAAGGCCAAATCGGGAAAAATTATCAAAATTTCAAGTCAAAGAAAGAATTTACCTTCCGATAAGTGGATTGCTGAGTCAGAAGATTCAATTCTGAAAAACAAAGTTTTGTGTTTGCCAACTGTTGTGGTAAAGAACTACAGAACCAACAAGCTGTCAACATTATCACTTAAAGTTCTTGAGCCCATGACTGGTCCCTGTAGTCGCTCGAGAATAATCTATGAACCTAAACTTCATATGCCGATGATTAGTGAATATCCTCTATCAGAGAACATGCACAAAAGTGACATAGTTAAGTCAGATCGACTACCCTCACTTTGCGCACCTTTGTATCATTCTAAAGATCATCTTATCCCAAAGTCACTTATTGCTGATCTGATCAACCAAAAGACTGTGAGGTGGGGATGTTCATTGAACCCAAGGGGAGATATTCAATATCTGAATGGGTTTTGGGAGTGGTCTCAACGAATTTCCGCAAGTTGTTAGATAAGGGTTTCAACGAACTTGCTTATGTTGTGCATGCAGCTTCTTTTGACTACTCTCGACCCAATAGTGTATATCGTGCCCTTTGTGAAGTTTGGTGTCCACCGATGAATACATTTGTTACAGGAGCAGGAGAAATTGGAATCTCACTTTGGGAAATGCGACACATCACTGGTCTTTCAATTCGTGGTGAATATTTTGAAGAAGTTATCCCAAGCTTGACTGAATTGAGAGACTCTGATACTAGTGTTCTTCTTGTGACTTGTCTGCACTTGTTTAAGGTTGTTGTCTTAATTAATAAGAAGAAAGGAGATAATCGTCCCCGTCATTCAGATTGGCTTGATTTTTGGTTCAAGGATGGTGCACGTGTTCCGGATCCTAAGAAGAGCAAGGCATATAAAGCAACCGTGACAAATTGCTTTAAAAGGGATGGAGAACTTTTTGCAAAGCGAAGATTGGTGAGACCAATTCAGGCAGAAATACAACCTATGAAGACAAAGGTCAATGGTGATGATCCCTTCATTCTTTTAAATCTTGACCTTGATGTCACAACACATGAAGACTTGAAGATTGCAGCTTATTTAGCTTTATGGCTATGTCGCTTTATATTTCCTTCATCAGATGATGTTATTCGTCCAACTATCTTCAAGATTGCCTCCCGAATGGCTACTGGAGTCACATATAGCTTGGTTCCCCTTGTTGTTGCAAGCATTTACAGAGGTTTATCTGAGACATGTAACACCCGATATGATCAGAAGAACCTCGGAATGACTTCTTATGCTTTTCCAGGTCATTACTTTTATACTTGGGCAGCATTGCATTTCCCTCGGAGAGTTTATGCTAAGGTTGATGAGGAGCTTGATCATCCTTTGCTTTGACAATTCAAAGGTACACTAAATGCTTATCTTTATTATGAGGAAGAAGCGAAAGGATTTTGAGATCTTCTACGTGGAAGTATGAGTTCCAGTGATTTTTGCTGGCAACCAGTTCCGTATTCTAGAAACTGAGGACCTCGTCATGATGATGGACAAAGATCAAATGAAACCTCTAAATTAATGACAAGTATGTGAGGTGGACACGTCAAGTATCGTCGTGGACCAGTTTGCATTCTTGAGATGTATAAACCACATCGCTTTGCTAGGCAGCATGGATTTCATCAAAGATTACCAGGTACTCCCTCATATCCATCAATAATTTCATTTGATGCTTCTTTTTTATATCGGGCGTGGTTGAGTTTAACCAGGATAAATAGTGGGGCAGGATTCCATGTCCTTAATAATTGCGCTCGCATTGAAAATCAATGTGATAGTAGTTATAACAACCGGTGGAAATATGATGTACTCCCACACCAAGATGACATCAATTGTAAAACCTTGTTAGCTAGTGAATCTGAGAATTTCAAATTCAAAGCTCAAGCTGACGGCTCAGGGAAGGGGAAATCCCTTCCTACAGTAGCTAAAGCTCCTTCACATCTTCGAAAACGGGACACTTCAAAAGATTGTTTGAATTCTCAAGAACAACCGGCTCCGAAGATGTTAAAGGTCACAACACCTGTTTTAAGATTAGCTAATGTTCGATCTGTTCATCCTTTAAACATCCCGGAGTCTACTGAAGTGAGTTCGTCAAACGAATCTGATCATGCACTCCTTTTATCCCGCATGTCTAAGGGTATTTTCAAGAAACATGATATAGGCTCGAATCGTGGAAGGATTCCAAGAGCAATTGTACTAGTTGATAATCTTGGTTCTATTAAGTAGGTAATTCAAGAGAGGTACCAACACAAGAGCTACAGAAGCTGAGCATAATTTGGCTTATACCCGGTCAGAAGATGGTGCAAATCATACTACTATAAAGTCTCTCACAGGCAGGGTTGACCCATCTTGTGATACTCTGAATGACTTATCAACTTTTTTAGAATTATCTCCGTGATCCCGCAATAAAGGTACTTGCAAAATTTCATTATTATTATCATTTTTTTTTATATTTCAAACCTCTTATCCTTTTTTTTTTTTAGCTTTTCCTCCACTCCCAGATCTTGCCACATTAAATTCCATCCCAGGTATTTGTGGAGACCAAAATCTTGACAATGATATCATTGGAGCTTTATTTGATGACAACAATTGAACCATCTCCATTCTTTCCGGTAGTGGTGAGATTCTTCCTTTGGTTGATAGAGAACATACCAATACATGTGAAGGGGAAGTTAATTCTAAAACAAACCCTTCATGTGCTATACAAGCAGGGCAAGAAGCTATTAATAATTTCGTTATGAATACTCTTCTTGAGCCATATGGACCTGGTGAAGCACGATCTCCAAGACTAATGCCGATGTTTTCATCTGTCTCAGGTATATTTTATTAGCCTGATCTAGTTACCCTTTCGATTAGTATGCAACTAATCGCATATCTTTATGTGTCAGGTCCTCCCGTTGAAGTAATTACTTCTGAAAGATTGGCAAAGAAAATAATTCTGACTGGGATGCCCCCATATTTGAAGGGTGAATTTGATTATGCCATGCAAAATGGCTTCTCTAGATTGAAGACCTGATGGACCTCTAAGTCTTCAAGTATTGAAGATACTCTTAAAAAACTTTTCTATGTTGACACAAATCCTTTGGTGAGAAAAATGGATTGTCTTCTTATGAAAGTAGATGAGTACCTTTCAAAACGCCAAGAAAGCGTCAAAGTTTTAATCTCTGGAGAAAGAGATAGAAGGTTGGCGACAATTGATAGCACGATATTGGGAGGACAATTCAAAGTTCTTGACTTGAGTTAACAACTATTGAAATTTGAAGCAGAGCTATTGAGTCTTCATGATGAAATTCGGCGACTGCAAGATTGGAGGGCCGAGGTAGCATCTAGCATTGACTTCATTCGTGATGAACGACAAAACACTGAAGAGACAATTGTGGTGATGGAGAAAGAAAGTGTCGAACTCCAAGAGTCTCATATTCGCAGCGTTGAGGAGATACATGATATAGATAAGATGTGATCCATGTTAGAGAAGGAATTTGTTTCACTAGCCTCGATTGACTGGGTTGAAAAATTTTTATGATCTCATAACTCCTCAATTGTAATTCTTTATATATATATATATATATATTAGCAAATATGGATGTTTAGATTTGAATTTTTTTTATGCTATTATTTATTGTACTAAAAAAAGATTGATTCTCAAATAATTTAGATATCTCAAAGAAAAAGTTTAAGTTTAAACATAATTTTGAAAGAATTTTTTTTGTTGAGTTGTACACAGTTTTAACTCATGTGGACCAGGAGCAAAAATTTTTTTTTCTTGGTTAAGCCATACGCCGTTTTAACTCATGCGGGCTAGGAGTAAATTTTTTTTTTTTGTTAAACTAAGAATTTTTTTTTTAAGCAGTACACAATTTTAACTCTTGCGGGCCAGGAGTAACATGCAGTAAAGGATCGTGCGTAAAGAAGCGCATGGACCTTTATTTTTGGTTAAGCCGTACACAGTTTTAGCTCATGTGGGCTAGGAGTAACAAGGTTTTTTTTTTTTAGGTTGGTGCTGCGCACAGTTTTAACTCATGCGGGTCAGGAGTAACATGCAGTTTAAACTCGTGCGTAAAGGAGCGTTGCTTGTTTTCAGGCGTAGAAGCACTTTAACAATTTCCCATTGATTGGACCAACCCTCAAGTCATCTTTGTCAACAATCTTGTATGCGCCGTTGGTGTAGACTTCTTTCACCACATATGGACCATCCCATTTTGACATAAATTTTCCACCGATGTGATGTAGAATGACAATGGGTCTTCGAATTGTAAGGACCAAATCTCCTATTTGGAATGACCGGACACGAACCCTCTTATTGAAAGCTTTGGAAAGTCTAGCTTGATAACATTCCAGGTTTTGTTGTACATCTAGTCTCTTCTTGTCAAGTGCTTCGAGCTCATCTAGACGTAAATGAACATTTTCTTCATTTGTGAGATCTTCTTGTAAGGCAATCTGTAGGGAGGGAATTTGACATTCCAAAGGAAGAACAACTTCAATGCCATACACAAGGGAATATGGAGTAGCTTGTGTTGGAGTTCAATATGTCTAGAGAGCTTCACCAACCCTTTCATGCCAATCCTTCTTTGATTTGGAGACAACTTTCTTCAGCAAGTTGCACAAGGTTTTATTGAAGGCTTTTGCGAGTCCATTGGCTGGTGCGTTGTACATAGATGAATTATTTTGTACAAACTCCAATTTGATGCAGAGCTTAGCCATGAGGCTATTGACAAATGATTTTTCATTATCAGTAATAATGTAACGAGGTACACCATACCGATATATAATATTTGTTCGAATAAAGTCGACAACATTTTCTTTTCTCACTTCTTTAAGAGAAACTGCTTCTGCCCACTTGGAGAAATAATCGATTGCTGCTAAGATATAAAGATGTCCTGATGACGATTTTGGAGTCAAAGGTCCTACGATATCAAGTTCCCATGCATCAAAAGGCCATGATGCGACTATAAGATGCAATGGTTTAGGTGGTTGGTGAATGAAGTTAGCATGAAACTGACAAGCTTGACATTTCTTAGCGTAACTCATCGAGTCTTGTACCATAGTGGGCCAGTAATACCTCATTCTCTTTATGCGGAAATATAATTTAGGCCTTGATTGATGAGCACCACAGATTCCAGAATGAGTTTCTTCGAGTGCTTGAGCAGCTTCATCTTCATCCAAACATCGCAGAAAAATACCATCAAATGAACGACGATAGAGGATGCCTTTATAATAAATAAATCGAGGAGCTCTTCGTCGTATCTCGGTTCTATGACGTGGGTCATTTGATAATTTTTCATACTGCAAATAATCAATCAAAGGTTGCCTCCAATCTTCATTTTCAACTTGCACTACTGAAATGGTAGTAACTTCCTCCATTTCAGGGAGTAACGGAGATATTACCCATCTTTGACAAACTAGAACTGAAATTATTTGGTAATAGGGTTTTGTAAGCACGACGGCAAGATTGGCAAGAGTATCAACATATCTGTTTTCACCGTGTGGTACATTTTTAATGGTGACTCGATCAAATTGACTCATAAGTTGAGTTGCATAGCGACAACATGGAATCAAATTTGGTTTGTGAACATCATACAACTCCAAAACCTAATGAACCACCAGCTGCAAGTCTCCATAGATTTCCAATTGAGAGAGTTGTATATCAAGTTCCATTTCTAAGCCAATAATCAAAGCTTGGTACTCTGCCATGTTATTAGAGCAAGACTCTGTCAAGGTAATTGCGTAAGGCAATACTTCATCTTCATGGGTAATGAAGACCACACCTACACCAGCTCCATACCTTCAATCAGTATCATCAAAATATAACTTCCAAGATGGTATGAAGTCAGTGAAAAAAACCTCTTCATCTGGCAATTCTTCTGGTAGCTCCCAGTCTACAAGGATCAGGTGATTTGCAAGAAAATTAGCTAATGCTTGTCCTTTGACTGCTCTTTGTGGAACATAAATTATGTCATATTCAGACAATAGAAGTGCCCACTTTCCCAACCTTCCCGAGAGAATTGGTCTTGACATAATGTACTTGACAGGATCAGATTTTGAAATGAGATGAACAACATGAGCCAGCATATAATGCTTCAACTTCTTTGTAGCAAAGACTAATGCAAGACACATCTTTTCAATAGGTGAATAGTTTAGTTCTGCACCTACTAATGTCCGACTCAGTTAGTATAATGCGTTCTCATTTCTTTCTTCATTAACTTGTGCTAAGAGTGCTCCTAATGACTATTCTTGGGCAGCAATATAAAAGATCAATGGTTCTCCTTGAATTGGTGCTACGAGGACCGGGGGGATGAATGAGATATTGTTTTATTTTTTCAAAAGCATTCTAACATGCATTATCCCATTCAAAAGGAACACCCTTCTTCATTAGTTTATTGAATGGATGACAACGTCCGACAAGGTTTGAGATAAATCTTTGTATATAAGCAAGTTTTCCTTGAAGACTTTTCAGGTCATGCAGATTGCGAGGCTCTAGCATCTTTAGGATAACCTCTAATTTTGATTGATCAATCTCGATGCCTCGATACCTGAGAATAAATCCAAGGAACTTGCCAGAGGTAATCCCAAAGGCACACTTTAAGGGATTCATTTTTTGTTGATATCTCTGAAGTCGTTCAAAAATGTTGTGCAAATCATCAAGATGATCTTCACGTCTTCTTGTCTTTACGACCAGATCATCAACATAACGTTCAACCTTTTTGTGTAGTACATCATCAAAAATCTTTTGCATTGCACGTTGATATGTGGCACCAGCATTCTTGAGTCTGAAAGGCATCACTCTGTAGCAATAAACTCCATTGGGGGTTCAAAATGCAGTGAGTTCTTCATCCTTAGGGTCCATTCGAATTTGATTGTATCTAGAGGAACCATCCATGAAAGATAAGACCTCATGTCCCATAGTCGCATCAACCATGAGTTCTGTAATCGACAATGGAAAGTCATCTTTCGAACATGCTTGATTTAAATATCTGAAATCAACACAAACTTGAATTTGTCCTTTTTTCTTTCTAACAGGTACAATATTAGCAATCCATGTTGGATATTTGACTTCTCGAATGAATCCAGCGTCTATCAACTTGTTGACTTTAGCTTTGATTTGCGGGACTAGTTCTGGACGGAATCTTCGTTGTGGCTGCTTAATGGGTCAAACTCCGTGTTTAACATCAAGATGATGAACTGCAACTTTGGGATCAAGCCTTGACATTTCTTTGTATGACCATGCA